TGTAAAAATAATCATTAGAATACAAAACATTAACTGTACAGTATATATACTTATACACACGTATGTATACATAAATAAATGGGAGCGTTCTTGTTTTTTTCACTTAACAATATATCATCTTATTCTTCTGGGTTGTTAATGATACTGAAAGGGGGAATAATTAGATTTTCAGACAGGCCCTTATTTCTCCTTGGAATGTAAAAGTTTGACTAACTGGGCTGTGGACAGCAGTACTTTCTTCACTAAACTCCAGACTTAAATATATAATGACTAGTTCAACCTTTCCACTTGGATGTACAGTAGATACCTCAGACTTAAAATGTCCCAAACTAAACTACTGATCTTCTTCCCAAACTAGTTCTACCTATAATTTTCCACATTTAACTTATGGTAGATCCATCCTTTTCTGCTGTAACTCTGCTTTTCAGTCTTTCAGGCTAGAATTCTTAGTCATCTTTGATTCTTCATTGCCTTATACCCCATATTCAATGTTAAAGGAGATCCTCTTGGATCTACTTTCAAAAGATAATTTAGATTTCATACAGTAAGTCAAGGGAAGAACAGCCCCTAATGGTAAATGGGAGCACAAACCTGCCTGCCTTCCACTCCACTGCTGTATTCTATCACCATGCCTCTCTTACCTCCCCCTACTCTCCTTGCCCCAGTCTTCCCACACCTCCTTTTCCATTCCATTTTAGGCAGCAGCAGTCCCCTACCATTCTTCCTTTCAATTATGAGAATCAGTACAGAGCACAGTGTACAGAGACTTTGATATACACTTTTACTTAAAATTTAAAGCAGTCTTTTGGCAGTTTTTCCAGTACTATTATTATATAAATTGTTTTTTCCAGTTACTGTTGTCCCCAAACTTAGCAGCATCAAGCAACTATGTTATCATATTCATGGATTTTGTAGGTTGGGAATTCAGATAGAGCATAGTAAAGATGGCTTGTTTCTACTGTACAATACCTATGACCTCATCTAAGACTTGCAGTTTGGGGGATGACTCAGCAGCTGGGGGCTGGAATCATCTGCAGGCTTATTCACTAACATGTCTGTCACCTGGGCTGAAATGTCATAAGGACTGCACGTGTCCTTTCCATGCGGTTTGGCTTCCTCACAGCATGACGTGAGCATAGGCAGACTTTTTATAGACCTTAGGCATAGCTCCACATGCACATGTTCCAGCAAACAAGGTGAAAGCTATATTCCCTTTTATGACCAAGCCTTGGCAACTCTCATAGCATTACTTCTGCTGTATTCCATTGGCAGAAACACTCACAAGCTCTCCCTGATTGAAGAGGAGGGGAAAAAGATTTTACCACTTGATGTGGGAGTGGCAAAGTCACATAGAAGAGCATGTGGGATTTTAAAAATACATCCATCACAGAGATTATAATTGTCCTGTTTCATAGATGAAGCATGGAATCTGGTAGAGAAGTGGTAGCCTCAAGTGGAAAGATTAGCGAGGGGCATCTTGGGAAACTACTCCTAGAGACATTACTACAAGGATCTCCTATTTAGTTAGCTTTTAAGACATTTATTTCCAGCCTTTAAAAAATCCATGATATATAGTATTTGTGCAATATTTGTGCTGTTCACAAATGTTTCTAATCTGCTCATTGGGAAATGATGCATAGTCTCTACTTGCCTAGAGATTTAGATCAACTGAAGGTACACTGAGGACTCACTGTGCGTAAGACACCAAAAGAGGCCATAGGTAAGGTTAGAGTGGTTGCAGCTTCTTTTTAATGCCTCCTCAGTGTCACAGCAGTGTTCACATAGGCCGGAGATAGCAGGTAGTTGGCCTACTCTGAGGAGTAGCAGGTGGATAGGCCTTCTTTCTACAGGGCTAAGCAGGAGTGGTTGTGGGTCCTTTCACCAAAGGTCAGTCATCCAGAAAGTTATTACAACATTCATTTACACTCAAGCATCCAAATTGAAAACTGCACTTACTGCATCATTCTAACAAAATTTCTTAGACCTCCGGGCTTGTGAGCTTTTGCTGATTTGGTCAGTAGTCTGCTGACCATTCAAAGAGTGTCTCTATTACCTTAGTGTATAGTGGCCAGGGAAGAAAATCACCCAGGGAAAATCCTAGGATTTCCTCCAGCGGTAGTAATGTTATATGTACTTGAAGATATTAAAGCTTCATTTTTAAAATTTCGAAGTAATATTTTCTTCACTAATTCTCATAGACCTTCTCCTCTTATCAAAATAAGAATTTAACAAGAATTTCTCCTTGTGACTGTGCGTTAACTTTACCCATACGTTCTTTTGTGTTTGGTGTTACTGGTTCAGTCTATAATTTGTTTGTCAGATTCAGTCCTTAGATTCATATCTTTAGATACATATGAAAATATACATATGAAAAGGTAAGAGATAATATCATTATTATAAATTTTGTTTTGAAGTATAATATATACACAGAAATCTATAACTCAGTGAATTAAATATACTCGTTTAACTGCCACTCAGATAAAGAAATAGAACATTACCAACACCCTAGAAGCCTTCCTTCTGTTCCTCCCCACTAACTGACTTCTATCACCATAAGTGATTATTTCACCAGTTTTTGAACTTCATGTTGTTTATCACTGTGGTTATGAGATTCATCCATGCTGTTGCATGTAGTCAATCATTAAGGTTCACTTCTGTGTCATATTCCATTGGGTAAATATACCACATTTTATTTATCCATTCTGCTCTTAATAGATGTTTGGATTGCTTCCAGTTTTCAGCTATATATTAATGAAAAATGCTAATAGGGACATTTTTCTTCATCTTTTGATAGACATACGTGTACTTTTTGTTAAGTATATTTCTAGGAATGGGTTTGCTAGGTGATGTAGTATGTATCTGTTCAGCTATAATATCTACTGCCAAATAGTTTGCCAAACCGGTTGTCCCAATTCACACTCCCACCAGCAGTGTATGAGAGGTCTGTTTGCTCCACTTCCTTATGAACACTTAGTATTGTCAGTTTTTGGTCAGTTTTCAAGTTTAGCCATTCTGGTGGGTAATAGTGATTGATTTCAATTTGCATTTCTGTGATAACTAATGAAATTGAGAAACTTTTAAAAGTTTTCTTGCCATCTGGATAGCTTTATTTGTCAAGTGTCTAAGATTTTGCCCAGTTTTTAATTGGATTGTCTGTCTTTTTCTAATTGATTTGTAAGAGTTTATTATATATAGTTGATAAACAGAAGTTTTTTGATCTCTTTATGGTGAATAGCTTTTGTGTCTTATTTAAAGTATTTTTGCCTATCCCAAGATTATAAAGATATTCTCCTTTGTTTTCTTCCAGAAGTTTAATAAACATATTAATTTAAAAACATTTATAGTCTACCTCATTCCACATAGAATTTGAGGCAGTTGAAATGAATAATTAGCAAAATATTCTTCCTTTAAGAAAAAGATGACTCTTGAAAAAAATAGATGTTCTAAAATTACCTCATATGCCATGCATCAAAAAAGCACAGCATATTTAATCTCATATAGTCTCTGGAGAATTCATATACATGTCTTGTCCTTTTCAGTTGGGTTCATTTCAGCTGGAAGCAGTCCTCTGACAGCAGTTCCCAAGTTTTTCGCTTCAATTAATATTTTAGGGTTCTGCTTTTTACTTAAATATTTGTTGCCTTTGGCTTTTAAAACTCCATATGGTAGGAAAGTTAACATGCAAATATGTGTAGCTACTAACTTTATTCAGCATATATTATTTGGAATCATAAGCTTTTGGAAGAATGCTTAGGAGGAAATATTTACTCTATATTTACAGAGTGGACTTTGCCTATATGTATTTATATGTGTTCATATGAATACATTTATGATTGAGTCCCTCTATATATATAGTAACTCTTAAAAAACTGGCTCCAGAAGCCTTACAGAGAAACAATTTTCATTATTTTATAGTGAAATATATGTCTGTTTCCTTCTCTCTTTTTTCAGATGGTCCACCTTGTCCTTTAAAATTGCCAGGGAATAATAATCCAGGTTTTCTCTTGGTTATATTTTCTGATGCTTCATGCAGCGTCTAAAACATTGTTAGTAGAATAGGCCATTGGCGTAAGATACTTCTGTTTCTTCCCTTGCTTGGTTTCCTTGCCTTGGGCTCTTAAGTGTCAGAAGGAGTGAGAGGAAATATGGGTTTACTTGGGCCTGCTGGAGAAGTTGATGGAAGAGCAAGAATCTTTCATCCCATCATGTACCCTGGCTCAGATTTATGATCACTATCATTTATGGCTGAGAAGTACCTTAAGTTTGTGTAAGTTTGTGGCTTCTTGGCTTTAACTCATATACATAAATAGCTAAAATAATAAATAAAACAATAACAATGACATTAGTGAACATTTATTTTTATTATACTCTATACTCAGTACTTTACATATTTTATTTCATATAATTTTCATAGTAGCCTTAAAAGTTTGATATTATTTTATCATAATTTATCATCATTGACCTTATTTTTTAGCTAAGAAAACTGAACCATATAGAAATTAAGTAATTGCCTAAGATCACCATACAAGTGAGTGGCAGAAAAAAACAGGTTTATAGGAGTTTGTAGCCTTTACCACCATCCAGAATTGCCTCCATGGCAGAAAAGCATGAGCTGAAATTTATCTTTGGTAGGGAATCTGTCTGTGCCTTTGTTCATCACCCTTTCCTTGATTTCCCCTTCTAAATAAATTTGGTGGCCACTGCACCAAGAACACCCAATGCCTCATTTTATTACAATGAATAGTAGTTGAGACCTGGGAGCATTTCATTAGCAGTCAGTCTTCACAGCAGATGACAAAACTGATTTTGTAGAACGATTTGCTTTCTAATAGAAAAGGATTTACCACTCCTCCAAGTTGACAGAACAGGAGATTTCCACAGGGTAGAAAGAGAGAGCATTTAACCCCACTGTATTATCTGAGTGCTATTGGGCCCATCCAGTCAGTGTGTGCAAATCTGTCATGTTGATTGTTATCAGTGTCTTTCTTTTGCTCTTCTAGGATTGTAGCTGAGAAAGTAAAGGATGTTCTGTTTATCCGGCCCCGGAAGTATATCCAGTGCTCCAATCCAGAGACCACAGAGCCTGGCTATATCAACATCACGGAGCTGGCAGCATCTGTGTGCCGCTATGACCTAGACGACATGGACATCTTCTGGCTCCAGTCACTCAATGAAGACCTTGCAGAAATGGGTAAGTTGTATTCCCACAAGTAAGTTGTTCCTTGACTCAACTTGTGATTTTTTTTTAAGTTGTCAGAACCATTTAACTTGCTTTCATCTTGTGGCTTCTTTCTTGGCCTTTTCGTTTATTTTTCTCTTTGATTTTATCTTAATAAGGCATACCTTGAAATACATAAGCATATTGAAATAGAGCAATAACATTTAAATCTGACCTTTTCTTTCCTTATTCATAGTGAATAGCACAGATCAGGGATGGCATGTAGGTTTCATGAGGCTGTTTCCGAGTTCTGAGTGTGAGAGCGATTATGGCTGATTAGACTTCTGCTTAAGAAGGGTTCTAAGACTGGCTCCTCACTCAGACCTGAAAAGCACTCACATTGGTAAGCAGGGCCAAAGGTAGTAGCACCTCTACCATCTCCTCCTCATGGAGAGAAGCTCCATCTTCAGCATTAGGCAGCACCACTACAACTGACAGGTTGATGTGACCAGGATGCCTTAATGCAGGACTTGTAATTTTGCTGCATGGAAGAAGAATGGCAGGTGTAGGGCAAAATATCCCCAACTGGAGGTAGTCTTAGCTACCTCAAGTGAGTTCTAGAGTTGTCATGCAGTTCTCAACAATAAAAATGAAGTAAAAACAAACAAAAATCTTCGAAGTAAAATAATAATAATTTTGAAGAGAATGTATGCCATACAGAACCATACCAGCAACGATGAGAAATCCTAGACTAAAAAGAAATGTAGTTTCTATTTATACGCAACTCTTTTTGACCTGTCTTCAATATGAGCAGTGTTTTGGTCCAAGTGGTCCTGTCGAATTGTGGGTGGTTTTTAGTTCTACATAAGAGATATGGTGAAGGATTCATTTTTGTTTGAATCACATTTGTTCATTGTTAGTACAAGGATCAGTGGTTTTCCTTTTCTTCCCTCCCTCTTCTCTCTGTCTCTCTCTGTCTCTCTGTCTCTCTGTCTCTCTCTCTCGCTCTCTCTCTCTCTCTCTCTCTCTCTCTCTGTCTCTCTCTCGCTCTCTTCTTCTTTCTTTATTTCAAGATTGGTATCTGAATGCATGTAAACAAAAAATTAAAATTGTATTAAATCCAATTTGACATAATGGTGGTACTTATCCAGTAACCAATACTTACTCCTTTTAAAACTTTTTGTTTTATGGCTTCTTTTGCTTTGCCTTCTAAGAGGAAGAGAGGTCAATTTAGGGTGGGAACCACAAAAAGAAGAAAATAAAAGACTGATGGGAAAATCAGAATATGGGAGTATAATCAAGTGGGTTGATGGCTCGATGTGTGGTGTTTATGAACCATATAACATCCATATACATTACAGTAATTACAGTGCTGCCTTCAACGTGTCTTTACCTTATAACAAGATCCCTTTGGCATTTTGCAGTTAATTTTCTTTGAATGAGTTTTTTAAAATAAACTTTTTAAATTTAGGAATAGTTTCAAATTTACAGAAAAGTTGTACCTTTAGTACAGTTACCATATACCCCTCACACAGTTTGTTTCCCCTAATGTTAACTTTTCACTTTAACGTGGTACATTTGTCAAAGCTAAGAAACCAACACAGGTACATTATTGTTAACTAAATTCCAGATTTTATTGGGATTTCACCAATTTTTCTATTAATAACCTTTTTCTGTTCCAGGATATCATCCAGGATACCACATTGCATTTAGGCTTGGAAAAGTTTTAAAAGAGAATTGACTTAGTTCAAGCATTCCTTTAGCTAAGGAATGGTATTGTAGTGAGGCTTCTAAGAACTTAAAATAAACATTTAAAAACATTAAATTAAGCATTTTTTAAATTCAGATTAAGAAATTTTAAAAATTGAGCGTTTACTATATACCAGGCACTATACTAAGCAACGTATGAATATTACCTCATTTCAGCCTCACTAGAAATCAGCGAGTTTGGTATAAGCCTTATTTTATAGATAAGGAAACTAAGCCCTAAAGAAGATAAATAACTTGTCAAAGTTTACATAATCAATATGAGGTCAAGTTAGAATTTGAATCCAGGTGCTCTTATAACCAAACACTATACTTCTTAACTCCAGAAAAAAAAAATTGTCATTTGTCTTGGCTGGAAAAATGAAACATTACCTAGTTTTTTGTTTGTTTGTTTTATAAGTACTTACAACATTGAAAAGGTAATTTATGTGGAATTTCAAAGTTCCTTAGGATATCTCATAGTACAAATTAAGTAGAATACTTGAATAAATTTGTTTTAGGTCATTTTGAGAATTATTTCTGAGTTTATGAGCTTTTAGAATAAATATATGTGCTCTCACAAAATCATTAGTCTGCCCAAGCAGAAAAATGTTTAATTTTATCAATATCCACCATATAAATCTTTTATAGACTAAGAAAAGTTAAAAGTATAGAAGGAAAAGGAATCAAGAAGCAAAAAGCGTAATTGCAGAATTTGCAGTTAGACCTTTGTAAATGCTAATAGGTTTATTTTATATTGGAGTTTGCCATTGAAAAATATTATTGGATTTTTTAAAAAGTCAGGTTTGAAAACAAAATATTTCATATGTATAGTATCTAGAATTTTCTTTTATGATTTAATACCTTTTCATATAAAAATTTCCTTGTATAACTATTAGATGTGCTCATTGGGACTAATTTGCTAAGAATGATTATTTATATCAAATAGGTATGTGAGTCTAATTATTTTATAATTCTATAAGTTAAAGTATTCAAAATTAATACAAAGTTCATTTAAAGTCCTCCCTCAGTGAGAATAAAAGGAAACAGAGAGATTTAGGAGGAGACTGGCTAGGATTTAGATAGAAAATTGAGAGGGTCAGTAATATATCTTAAGCAATATGGTGAAATATATTTCTCACTCGTGTGTCAAACACTAATATGTAATGATAGGTAAATAATAGAATAGCTCTAGTAAATGATTCTTTGAAATCTGGTTGTTTTAGATCAAAGAAGAGACAGTTTTATCCTTTAGAATATCCTCACCCCTGCACTGAGCTCTCAGTAGGTGATTTGAGAATGACAGCTGACTGATGGGTTGATTGATTGTTTGTATTTCTGTGCAGGTTGTGGGCCAGTTGATGAGAATCTTATGGAAAAAACAATAGAAGTCCTGGAACGCCTTTGCCATGAAAATATGAACCATGCTATTGAGACAGAGGAAGGGCTAGGCATAGAGTATGATGAAGATGTGATCTGTGATGTGTGCCGGTCTCCAGACAGTGAAGAAGGGAATGATATGGTGTTCTGTGATAAGTGTAACATCTGTGTGCATCAGGTTAGTGAGAGTGGAGACCGCCACCTCCCTACGGTCAGCCTTGCTGAAGCTCAGTGATAATCTCTAGCACCCATATCTGGGTAGCAGCTCACATTTAGGGGGAAAATAAAGATTTGGCCTGGCTGTTCTTCCGTAATTCCTTTAGAAACAATACTTCTTATAATCCCCAAGGTGACTTACTTACTAATTTTACCCCAGGGGGTTAAACCTGGATGTTTATTATATCCCTTTATGCCCATGCATTGGGCATTGAGATTGCCTTGTTCAGTACTTTTACAGTCCCCTGGGGAGTCTCCTTGCTGCCTGCCTTGGAGTCTGTCCTCTGACTTCAAATCTCTGTTACATCATCAAGTTACAACCCTGGTCAGTAACCTTGGTGAGTTTATACTTCCCACAGCTGGAAGTTCAGACTCCTTATCCTGGTACCCAGAGACATCCTCCATCTCCCAAATATACCACTCCCAGGAAGCTAGGTCTACTTCATTGTTAAAGATCATATAGTCTTAGGATTGTAAAAGACTGTCCCACTCCTCAGTTTCACAGGTAATACTAAGAGAAGTGACTACCCAAGCTCTTAGAGCTAGTTCATTCTTTCTGCCACACTGCCTTTTTAATTAATAATGATATCACCATTCTTTTCAGCTCTTTTCTTCCTCCACAAGCCCTGTGCTCCAGTGAAATAAGGTGACTCAAGGTGGCAGTGATAAATATTCCTGATACTGTCCTTTCTCCAGATTTCAGCCATACTCCAATTTAAAATGTCGTCTCCCACCTCCAGCTGTCAAAAATCTACATATCTTCCAAAATAGTTCAAATCCTTTCTTGAACTCCCCAACCCTAAGTGATTTTTCACTCTTGTGAACCTGTTGTACGTTTCATTCATTTTATTAATTTATCTAGCAGATAGGTACACAACACTATCCATTTGCTAGAACTATGCTGTATACTGAAGACACAGTCAGTGATGAAGAGGCAGACATGGTCTTCACCCTCAAGGAGATCAGAGTCTGGTGTGGGGACTACAGGGAAACTGCCCATTTAGCATAGTATGTCATTTTTTGTAGATAGAAGTCCCTGCTGCTATGGAGGTACATGGGAGGGATAGGAGTTGGGGACAACTTCCATGAGGTGGTATCCAAGCTGAATGCCAGATAAAACAGCAACGTTTGTTCAGGCAGAGAGGAGAACATGTTCAGACGGGTAGTGAGAGTGGGCAAAGCACATTGGAGGCAACTCTGAGCACTTCAGTAGTGAGTGGAGCAGGGAAGGCATGGAGAGTTAGGGTAGAGAAGGATACAATGGATGCATGTGAAGGGGCTTCTCTCATAAACTGAGGAACTTCAGTTTTATCCTGTCAACCCTGAAGGATAGGATTTGTATTTTAGAATACAAGAAATAGAGAGAAACCAAAGCTTAAGACTTTAGTTTAATTCCCTGGGCCACCTAATCTAACCCTCTGTATTAGAAGGTACTCAAAATTATTCTGTCACCAATTGGGTCTTTTTCTTCATTTTACTTGTGTCCCTTAAAATACTAGATTTCAAAAATTTATATTCACTCCACCAGTTATTGTCATTTATGTCACACCTTAGAGAAATCTTTACTACGTAAGTATGAACTTAAGTATCTGACAATACAGGTCCACCAATCCCTTCTCTGCAATTCCAAACTTTTAAAACTCTGAAAACTGCAAATTTTTGCTGAAGTTTGGCACCAAAACTGATTTGGGGCAATAGTAGAACTCACCCAATATGAGGCTATTTATAGTCTTTATCCCATTTTGTGTAAATATCACATATTTTTTAAAGAAATATTAATGAATTTGATTATATGGTACTGCCCCTGGTCCCATTGAGGGGTTAGGTGTTATAGCGTGTATGTACTGTATTACTTTCCTGAGATCTGAGCAATCCTGAATTTCCTGATGTTTCTCACTCTAGGGTTTTGAGGTAAATGATTGCAAATCTGTAGTAGGCTTAAAGGGAGAAGTACAAAGGTCAGCTGTATATATTTTCTGTATTTGTCCTTCACAGTTGAGACAAAATATTAAGGAACTATTTTCAGGTTTTTTGACTAACGAAATGAAGCATAATTCTCCTCAAAGGTATTTTATTTGTTTTGAAAACATCCAATAAAGACTATAAATGATGCCCTTTCATCACGTAGAAAAAGATGACAGTGACACTTGACCAAGCTTTGCAGAATGTAAACTGGTTTGTATTAAATAAAGCTGGATGTCGTGCCACATAAAGTTTCATACAAAAGAGATTCTTCCCAAGTGAGTATAGTCACTTGAATTCTAAAGAGTTACTTAGGTTAGAGCTCCCTCTGTTGACTGAAAAGTGACTTTAAATGATTTGAAAGATTTGGTTTACTCTTTAACAGAATCTGAAACATGTTGGCATCTGTATTTATTAAACATAATTTTTCTTATTTACTGCCATATTATCTCAAATGTTTGTTCCTCTGTGCCTATAATACACTTATTGTCAGCATTTTAGAAGAGAGGTTTACATCAATAGACTTCAGATTTTAATAGTAAATTTAAATTTTTTTCATTAAAAAATGTGAAAATTAAGACCATTCCAAGTCCCTTTAAATGTTCCATTTTCTGCTTATTAGTCCAGGTATTGAACACTCAAATTGAGGCTTAAATTAATTTGCGTGAAGGTACATGCTCATAGTCTTTATATTTGTCACATATGTAATATTTGGCATTGAGTTTATTACCCCCCGAAATTATATGCAAAACATATGTTCATGCACTTGTGCAATTTTCTCAAGAGAGTCCACAGCCTTCATCATTTTGTGATCTACAAAAAGTTAAGAACCACTGCTATGAAATACAGGCTCTATGGTCTTATGACTATTAATACATCTACACAAGATTCAGTAAATGATTTTCTTCCCAATAGAATGGCCAGGAGATATAGAGTATTCCTAGAACCGGTCATTAGTTTTTCTTCTGCTGGTCTGGAAGAGGCTCTGTTCTAGGAAGGAAGCTTGCTTTCATTTCCTAACAATCTTTCTGGACCTCAGAGAAAGGACAGCTTTGAAAATTATAAAATGATGCCCTGCTATTGTGAGAGCAGCCTGGTTGGAGTCCAGCTTCAGTTCTTGAGCTAAATTAAGTTGTTCTACCAAACCACCTACTTGAGCTCAGTATGAAGAGCATTCCAGATAAACTGATGACAAAGGACCTAACCCCCAGTGACCTTAAAATCTCACTGAGGAGATGAAACATAACAGCCAAAGTAGAGAAGACTACATGATGTGGACTACATACCTAGTGATGGAAACCACACTGAGTAGAGGACAGGGGTGGAGAAGTAGAGCAGACACAAGGGGATGCAGTGATCTGAGAAGCGAGGTGAGGAGAAGCAGGCTTTAGATCAGGGGCCAGCAAACATTTTCTTTGATGGGCAAGATAGTAAATATTTTTAGACTTTGAGGGCTATATATATAGTCCCTGTTACCTATTTTTTAACATCTCTTTAAAAGTATGAAAACCATTCTCAGCTTACTGGCTTTACAAAACAGGCCTCACGTAGTTTATGAACCCCTGGTTTAAATGGGGGTGGGGGTAATAACAGAAGGAATTTCTAAAGGGTATGTTGCTGTGCAGTGGTATAAATTCATTGTTTTAATAAGAAGAATATGGCAGCCAAACTGAGGAAGGATTGAAGGCGTGAAGGGGGTAAAAGAGGACTTAGAAATAAATCAATCTAGGTATGACCTGATGAGGACTTGAATATAGAGCAGTTATGGTGGGATGGATAGAAAGGTCAGAGTCTAGGGTTCACTCTGTAGGAAGGACTAGTAAGCCCCAGGGACAGTAGATGAAGGAAAGTGGATAATATGAGTGCAGGAATTTGGATCTGGAAGCTGGGAACCATGGGAGCAATATGGATAGAGTTTGGAAAAGAGGCAAGTTAGGGGATTGACATCATGGCACCTGTTGTAACTTGAATCTGAGCTATGAGTGAACCTCCTAGGGGAGGCATGAAGCTGCCATGATGAATCAGTCAGTGGTGGAGGGTGTGCCAGGCTATACGGGGAGCCATGTGGCCCCCAGGTTTGATCTCTAATGGTGAGAGTAGAGCAGTAAGTGGGGAAGGGTGGGCAAAATGGAGGTAGTGAAAAGGAAATCTAGAACGTTTTCCAAATTAATCTCCTTCCTCCTCTAGTAATTCATTTATTTATTTGTCCAGCTTCATTCCTTAAAGGATTTTGAAGCAGCTTCCAGAACTCATTATGGAGTATTGTGTTTAGTCTAATATTCTGTTCAATTCAGGAATCATTCACAAAGCCCTTTTTCTTCAACCCAAGCAAGTAATTGCTACAATTTGCTAAGTGCTTTTTATACACTAGGCACTGTTAGGCTTTAAACGTCAGCTCATTTGCTCCTCAGAAGTTTCATTCTGTTTATTTTCTAACACTTTTTCTTGATCACAACACTGCATGACATGTAGAAATTGTTCAATAAGTATATGACTAATTATAATAATCATTGAAGAAGCTTTAGAAAACAGGGGAAAAAGAAAAAAATATGTAATCCCCAAAGGCAAATAACAGGTGGGCTAGCTTTTGCATCTATTCCCTTCTAGTCTTATTCTATCATCATTAAAGTCAGTTCTCATGGATAGACATGCTGATCTTAGAAAAGATAACTGGAAGTTGCCTTTTTTTTTTTTTT